CATGACAATGAAAGATTATAGTATTCCCAGCCCAGAATAATACACCTGTTATACACTTGCCTCGTAGAAGAGAGTCAAGTTTTATCCTTTCTCTTCCTCCCTCTCTTCATTTGCGAGAAACAAATAAAGCTGTTTATATTTAATAGTAGAATTAATGCCCACAATTCAGTTTGCATGCAAAAATAGTAATCTGGGCATTTGCCATCATAGACACATATTTATATAGGTATATATACATTCTGTATGATATATAGAAATCTGTAGACTAGTATGGAATTCACATGCATTTTCGATGCCAGTGTCTCTATCTTTAGGGCTTTTATTCTTTTTAATGATGCAATCAGTGTTTTAGGAGTAAACCCCATTTAACTAAAACAAACTTACTTCTGAATAGACAGACAGAACATTGTACTCTTAATTAAATAGTACAGAGTTCCCCCAGTATCTAAAAGTTCCAAGAAACTATATTCCATGTAAGATTTATTTTAGGAGAAATACAAGACAGCATTTCACCCCAGAAAGAATGTAAAACTTAACAATAGTCACTGTACAAAGTGTTTTATAGCTCAAAGAAAAGAAGATCTAATATCAGAAAAAAGAAGAAGGAAAATGGTTAAAGGTACAATCCTACATATACAATAAGAAGTTAAACTTCACTGAATCCAGGCAGGTTTACTTCTGGGGAAGATACCACCATCGTAGTTAAAATATTTGATTATCAGAGCATAATTATTAATTGGTAAGGGGGAAAAAAACTTTGATAAACCTACTTTAGGCTTTTAAAAAGCCATTGTTCTTAATACCGAAATGCAAATTACTGCTTTACTTTCTTCCAGAATCAAGGAAATATTAACTGAAGAGAAATCAATAGATTCAAAGTCACTCTGCTATCACTAACTTCCCCTGGTTTGTTCAGCTTCTAGTTCATAAGAGAAGAGGAAGAAAAAGAAAAGAGAAAGCTGGCTACTGCAAGTTAAATGTTATTATTTGTTTCTATTGCTTTGCTCATTAATGATGGGGGGGAGCTGGCAAATACGCTGATGCCCTGATGAAATGGTTCATTGTGCCTATTGACAGCAAAATGCTTCATTACTTCACAAAATGCCCAGATAACACATTTTCTCCCATTAATAAATCATTATGAAATTCCAGTTAATTAAAAAAGCATGTCAATACATCTACCACTTTTTTGAAGTTACTTAAATACAAAGACAATGTTTTCTTTTATTTTTTAGTCCTTGTTGTTTTGTCATAAGGGTGCATTTTAATTGCATATTAATTGAAGGCAAAGCAACAGATTTTCCTTTTTATCTGATCTAGTAACACTAGATTAGACAAGTGGATTAAAAACAACTTGCAAGAGAGTTTCCTCCGTACAGCTATCATGCTGGTTTTGTATCATTAAAATGGCTCCTAAACAAGCAGATTAGCTGATTAATTGATGATTAAGACTGCAGGAAGATCAGTCATTACATGGAGAAACTCCTTGCATGCACACACCGAGCTAATTGACAGCTACACATGAACTGGAACAACCAGCCTCCAAAAGCATTATTGTAAAAGCAGATATAAACACTTGCCGCAGCCTCCCTGTCCCCCCCCCCATCCCACACTCCCTCTGCAACATGTTTTAGACACAAGCATGAACTGCTTCTTTAAGTTCAAGTTGGGCCATCTAAAATCCTAGATGGTTACACATGCGTGTGGGTGAGTGGAAGGGAGATACTTCAAAGCAGTAAGGACGACTGTAAAAGTCAGCACCCGAATATAAAGATAGCCTCACTGTTTCTGCACAAAGTTCAGAGAATATATTTTGTCATCCATGTACCCTGGAAAATATTGGTAAATTGAGCTTTCATACCAAATGTCTGCTCTTTGAAAGGACTTGGAGAAAAGTTCCTTGGTTGTATTGATCTGGTGACTGAGGGACCACAGCTACGGTTTTATGTCCTGCTAGGTCTGCATGAGCAGTCCTGAAGCTATTGCTTATTATCCAGAAGTAAACACCAATTTGTCCGCTATAAAACTGATACAAATCCTACTCTTATGCCAATACAGCTCTGTTGTAATATAATCACTTTGGTGGAGGGTGGAGAAGGGGGAGGAGTGATGACCGTCCACATAAGATTACAGAGCAGTCACTTCTTGTCACAAAAGATCTTACAATAAGTTATCCTACCGCACTGGCTAAGAAGCAGACATGATTCACTAATAAATACAAATATCAAGAACTTCCTATTAGACTATTGAGATTACAGCAGCCCTTATTTCCCAGTTACCATAAAGGAAAAGAAAACTCTCCAGAATACATCTATTTCAAAGAACTTTTTAACAGATTAAAAAGAAAAACTGTCTAGCAAAGAAAACTAAGAACTTCTCTGGAAGTTCATATCCAGTACAGTTTTGAAAATAATTTTACATCCGGAGTTATAGCAACAACAAAGGTATTCCTGATCTGAATGATCTGTAATGATGTTTCCTACCTATAGTAAGAATTCCCTTGTGCATCTGTCAATGAGCAACTATACAAAGGTGTCTTTAACAGGCAGTCTGATATGGTACAAAGCAGTGACAACATTCGCTGGCAAGCTCAGCTGACCAGAGAAGATTTATCAGAGGTCAGAAATCTACCATCTAAACCTTGCAATCCCCTCCTGGAAAGCAACTTAAAAACAATACAGACACACAGAAAAAGAAATCCGAGCCATTAACACTAAAATAACAGATGTAATGAAGTTTTAGTCTGAAAATATGAGAAGTAGCACATGCATCTTTATCTTAAAAAGCTCAAAATCGCAACTGTAAAAAGGGGATGTGCTGACTGTTTTTAAGGAAAAAAACAGAAATCCTATTTACCACAGCTTTCCCCGCACTTGGATGTACAGTATTTTTTTTTCTTTTTAGCCAAGGGGAGGGGGAACATTTTAAAGCAGCTTTCCCAACTTTTTTTCCACAATATATTGTGACAAGTGGCTGCTTGATAGATGTTCTCCTTGATAAACGACTTGTTCAAAAGAGACACAGTAGCTTTCATTTCCTGACCAGAACACACTTTTAATTTGCACCAGCAGAATTGCTGGAGTGTGACTGGCTCCTGATTCTGGGTGTTTTGCCTCTGACAGGCCCCCACCCTCCACGAAACAAAAATAATCATGAGGCACATCTGCAGACAATGATCACTGCCACACATTTGGTTGGGTTGTTATAATCGAGACGCAGAAGTGATTACATTTGTTAGCTCTCGTGGACTCCCTTCTTCCCACCCCCAGATGGGTGCAATTTCTAAACCACTCTGCAAGTTAAGATATTCTACTAAGAAACTGAGAAGTAGGGATATGGATAGGGCAAAGAGCTTGCATACTGGGGTGGGGAGGAGGAAGTACACATGTGCCATACAATACACAAAACTAGGGAGCCCAGCCGTGATTACTATCTATTACTATTAGAATCATCTTCCTCATCCTCATCCTCCTTCTCCAGGAACTGCATTTAAACAGTGGCAACGATTCACCCCATCCAATTTCAGCTCTCAGCATACTATCCAATTCCCGATTTAAAATTTATAAATGTAATACCCTCATCACAAGCAGCAGGTCCAATCTGCTGTGAATATATATTACAGCTTTAACATCACAGAGGGAAATCTCCCATCTGGCAATCACGTTCTCTCCAACAGCTCTAGGAAAGGGGGGGGGGGGGGGGGAGAGAGAGAGAGAGAAAGCTGTGTCTTTCTGCTCTCCCCTCTCTCACCCCCCCCATTCAAAATGTCTCAGAGCTGATTATTTGCATCTAAAATAAACACTGCTGTATTGATCACCTCAAAGTCAACAAGTTCCAAACAATAGATAGACAGATAGATGGATGGATGGATGGATGGATGGATAGATAGATAACATCATACACACACATTCATTTCCATTGTGATAGCAGTTCTGTTTTACTCTTTGGAAATATACAGAAACCTTCAGCATCAGCTTATGGGCACGGCCCACTAGCAACTATTCCTAAGCTGAATACAGGATTCAGGGTTGTGCCATTATGAAAAATCAATGGCCAACACTGTCCCCCCTCCAGCCAACAGCCCTACCATTGCCCATGAGTTTCTATCCTGCTCCTTATTTATTTCTGCTAAGGGCTATTAAAAAGCAGATACATTCTTGGCCTTTCCCCCTTCGCACAAATTCCCAAACTTATATACAAAATACTAATCTGCTGATATGGTTCCCTGGGCTTCTACCCACGGCCTTGTATACGTTGCATCGGACAGGTATATTCAAATCCTCCCTGTTTTATCTGGCATGCCTACCATCACTCTTAAAAAAAAAAAAAACATAGAATAATTGTTCAAGCCTCCTACAACATCTGATGGATGTTCCATTGCACAGCACAGCAATGACAAGCCGCCAGATGGAAAAGAGGATAGAAAATATACAGGCCGTTATTAAACTGGAAGATGGGGGGGGGGGTGTTGCAGGAAACAGAGAGAAGCATTTATTAGAGAATCCCTAGAAAGCATTTTATTATCCTCATCTAAAACCCATTGAAAAAATGAAAAAGGGGGAGACCTCTATTGAAAAATAATCAATAACTATACTTGAAAAATAAACAGGAAACCATAGCGGTGTGGGAAGGCTTAGCTGTGTGCTTGGTTCCCCCCCCCTCCTTTTACAGTGAGCAAGTTGACTAATTTACATCATATTTGAGTGTACATGGTGCACTGCTAGTAACATGCAACTTTAGGTTTGTGACAGAACAAAAGTAACAGTATGTTCAAAGCAGAAAATTAGAAACAAAACAATAAGACAGTGCACACCCACATATCCACACACATCTTATTTATACACCTAAAGCTTTATCATTAACCTTGTTATAGTGATCTTCAGATACATGCAAAGTCCTCTGACATGTTCATCATGCTCTTTCAAAAACAAAAGAAAAGAAACATCCATAGTACAACAACAACAAAAAGAAAAGTAAACGAGATTCCCAAACAGACCTACCATAAACACTGGTGCTACTGATCATTTCTTGCTGGCAGCACAAAAAAGCTGAATTGGAATTTTTTTCCCCCTTCTTCTCACAAGCAGGAATTCCAAAGGTTGCTTTTCATGAATGCCACTTTTCCTCTCAGCTATCAAATGTCACTGCCTTGAAACGTGGGCCTTTTCGTCAGGTATTCATTTAACCTACATGCATATAATTAAGAGGGAAAGCAACATCAACAAAAAGGGAATTTCAGATCAGAGGAGAAGAAAGAAAGGGGGGGGGAGAGAGAGAGAGCACATGACCAGCAATACAAGTCCATGTCAATTTCACTCACTCCCATTGAAACTAACAAGAGCTCCAGGGAAGATAGTAATAGGATCAGTGGGTTGTATATACCAGTAAATTATACATCTTCCTCTCAGTTCAAAGCCAACAATACGCCCACCGTGCCACCCTCCCCCCCCCCGCAGATGAGGTGTTTAAATTTTTCTGCATCAGCTTCTCAGACAAATTCACACACCCCTCACCCTTAACTTTCCCCATCCTTATTTGCACGGATTTGCTTAAAAGTTAGTTCCCCCAATTGCACTTAAGCCGCACACGTTACTGCTTCGCCCAGAACTTGAGAAATAAATAGACCCTCTTCAGTGAAAGTGGATTAATAGGGGGGAGTGTAATCAATCTCTCAATCCCGAATTCTTACTCTCCGCACTATTGTTAGCAACGATCAGGGAAAGAAAAGCCATCGCTACGATTGTATCGCTTTACTTTCCACACTGCGCGTAAAACAAGGGGGAAGAGAAGTCGGGGGCAGGCGAGAGAATAAACCCAGACTTGGCGATTTCCTATCTCTGAGCATCCATTTCATTATAAAGCTCGGGGAATTTAGAGCGCTCGCGCCCGCTCGGGATACATTTAAAATTGTATAAAATTTTAAAGAGAGCAGGCGGAGAAAAAGAAGGGGAGAGAGAAAGAGAAACGAGTCACCGAAGAGCTTACCTGGAGGTTCGGGCACAATCGATTCTTTCGGCGCGCTGAGGAACTGGGGCTCGGGTTAAGCGAAGGTGCCTATGATTTGAAATCATTCCAAGTTTTTGAAGGGAAGACTGACTGCAGCCTCTGCCATGTTGGAATTTCAAACCCAAAACAGCTGCTTTGCAAAGAGCCACCATGCCAGCAGCTGAACGCCTGCGCAGAGCGCCGCCGAGCCAAATTCAAATCACTTTCACACTAAGAGCCAAAGATCAGTTTGCAAAAAAAAAAAAAAAAAAAAGGGGGGGGGGAGAAAAAGAGAGAGAGAGAGGGACGCACCAGATCCAGGCGCAGGAGGCTCTCAATGGCCGCGCTGCCGCTGTTGCCTTCGCCACCGCCGCCGCACAAGGCCCCTGGCTGCACGGGTCAGGTTACATAGTAGGGGCTGTCGCTTGCAAGGAAACATGCAAACACCGCCTGGAGGTGGCCGGGAGGTCATGGCAGAGCAGCCAGGAAGCTCGCCCTCCCCTTCTGCGGCTCCAGGAGGGCCACCGGGAACTGAGGGAGTCGGGATCCCCGCTCCCAGCTTCGCCTCCGGCTCCTGCAGCAACAGAGAGACTTCTCGGAGCTCTGGCAGCTTCCCTGCCGCCGGGGAAGCTCCATATCCCCGGCCCCAGCCCCCCTCCCGCGCCAGAGAAGCACAAGCGGCGGGGAGCGAGCCAGCGAGCGCC